ACTTGGGTTCCCTCTATCCGGAAGCCATGGTCCTACACCTGGCCCCCATCTCTTCTCACACTTTGCTCTAACAGAAGCTAGATCTTGTCAGAGAGGAAGATGCCTCCTGATAGCCCCTCTTTCCTTGTCTCCAGCCCAAAGGCCTCACTCTTGACCCTTTATGAAGGCAAATTTACTAAGACTCAGCTGCCAGAGTAACGTTTTCTGCGGAGATGATGCCTGGCTCCCAGAAGCCAGCTTTCCCACATACATGATGAGTATCTTGGGATTTTGGATGAATCCATTCCCCAGTGCAGGGGAAGGGGTTCTACTCACTTCAGTGATGCCGTGTCTCCTCCAAAGTATTCTTTGTCCCCAAAGGCCACCCATCCATGGAGTTGACAAGAGACCAGAAATGCTGGACCCTGGTCCCCTGTGGCTACTTCCATCCTCATCCCACAGAGTGGGCTGTCTCCCACATAGCTGCCTGGAGATGCCAGCCAGGGACATCAGATGGCATGCAAGGAGACCTCCCTCAGGAGTTCATTGAGTATTCACTGCCCAGGAACTCCAAGGCCTTTAGAAAACCAACTGTGAATTCAAGGCTGATCAGGAAGAGGAGATGCAGGGGAAATCACGATGTACTTTGTCATAAAAGGATGACTCAGCAGAGGAGCCACCAACTTACATCTCAGAGGACATTTGCTCTAGCAATCTGAACCAGAAACCTGGAATTTGGAGCTGGAAGGGTCTAGAAAATGAACTATCTGGTATGTTCATTTTTTGAAGAAGGATGTAGAGATCCTGGACAGCCCTCTGACTGATCCAAGGTCTTGCAGAGGGTGAAGTACAAACGGAATTCCAAATTCTGAGTCCTTAGTGTGTGTCACCACTTAGACCATGCCTTTAGAAAAATCAGAGTGATCTTTGTCCCCTGAGCCTTACAGTGGTTGGAAGTACATGGATCCTCCTGGACCCCGGTAGACCCAGGACCGGATTACTTCCACAGGACACGTGGCTCACTGGCGGATTGCTTCCTTATCTACCTCTGTCTCTGCTCTTCACTCCACCAGTGATTTTCCTGACATACAGCTCTGGTCTATGCCAGGTTCTGCCTCTAGTTCTGGCCTAGCTTCTAGAACCTTCTTGCATGGCTACCGTGCCTTTCTCTGTACTGCCTTACCTTCAAGCAAAATGAGGATTTACATTTTGCTTTGGACCCACGAGGAAGTCTGCATCTTAGTAAGCGTGCATCTTAGTAAGCGTTTCCCAACATTAGGCTCTGCCTTCCTGTTTGCTTGGGGGATCATTTGAGCTGTTTGGGGGATTCTTTCTCCCCTGCCAGCTTCCAGCCTGCAGGCTGGGCATAGCTGGTATTGAAATGCATTTGCCATCGATAAGAAGAACTAGATAAGAAGAACTAGAGTTTTCCACTCTAGTGTTTTTCAAGCAGAGCCTTCCAGTGTTGTGGCTTTCCTGTTGAGGAGGAGAGAGGGACAGGAGGGAATGGAGTCTGATGAGCTCATGGCTGAGATGCTCAATCACACTCCCAGCCTCACCCATCATCCCCAAGATGCTCGGTTGAAACATGAGCAGAGAGACTCTGCCTCCTTCCTGTGTATTGGGACCTAGAGCAAATGAATCAGCTTCGGAGCTCTTGGGGATCAGCACCCGAGTACCATTTCTTCTTAGCTGGGAGGAAGCCTGGAAAGGTTAACACCCTGTTCCCATGCTGTTTACCAGCACACAGAGTGGTTGAGGACGTGGGCGGGGGAAGCACACACATTAGGGAATGAAGTTTGCTGTCTGACACCACTGGCCGTGGAGGTGAAGGAGCGGTGACAACGGATGATTTCTCCAGGGTGTTTTGTTTGCAGATGGCTTTCAAGTGATTTAGGCAGGTCGTTTGTGGGTCGATACTTTTCTCAAGAGTCCCTGAAATCCACATCTGCTTAATAGTGGAACCTGGCAGTTACAGCCAGAGAACAATTTTGCCCAGCGGTGGAGTCTCCTTGCAATGGGTAGCTGCCATCTGATGGCCTACTAGGTACCAAACACTACATGGCCATTCTGTTTGTAACTATTTGCTTGCATCAGATTCAGGGAGACCAAGTATGTCAACTAGTATCTTTAAATCAAACTGTCTAAATTGCCATGCTCCTCTCCTGCTTGGTTAATCATGCAATGGACTTTATCTTCCAAAACCTGTTTCCTCATCTGTTAAATGAGATAGTGCATGCTAAGTCCTTGGCCCTGTTCCTGGTACACAGTCAGTGCTCAATAATGACAGCTGAGGTTCAGATCCCAGGTCTGGCTGGCCCCAGAGCCCATTTTCTCTTCCTATTACCGCAGGAACCTTGATAAAATGGACACATGATATTGTCTTAGGTTTGAAAATGTAGATGTCTCCTTGCAAGATACTGACGGATGCTATTTCTGATTGAGCAAGTGTGTGCTATTGGTGGGAGCTCCACCAGGCTGCTGACCAGGCTAGGATCACACAGAAGTGCTCAGGGTTCATAGCCAGGCTACATGAGCCCACATCCAAGCTAAGCCACCACCGTCAGTAACCACTCTGCAGTCTTGGGTAGTTTAGTTACTGTGATGTTTGAATCTGAAATGCCCACATAGGTTCATGTTCTGAGCTTGTGTTCCCAAGCTGTTGGTGTCACCTGAGGAACCCATTGGTGGGGCCTAGATTATAGGGCCACAGTCACTACGAACAGCCCTTTGAGGGCTATCCTCAGCCATGGTGAACTGATCAGATCTCCCAGCATGGTGGAAATATCAGAAAACCATGAACCAAAATAATCCCTTCCATCCTCAAATTGCTTCAGTCAGGTATTTTGTTGACAGCGATACAGACCCAGCTCCAGCCGACCACGCTGTGACTCCAGTTTGATATAACAGGCCAAGATGGTGACATTGCCTGCCTGCTATGTGGTTGAGGAGAAATGAGTTCATACATGCAAGTGCTCAGTGAGTGCTGGCTTTTCTGTCTTTAAATGTGTGTATATGTATATATGCATGCATAACAGAGAGACAGACAGACAGACACACACACACGTACACACAGAATGAGCTTGTGCACATGTGTGATATGTGCTTGTTGGTGCTCACAGAGGCCAAGAAAAAGCGTCAGATCCCTGGGAGTTGGGGTTACCGGTGGTTGTGAGTCAACCCAACACAGGGGCTGGGAAACAAATTCTGGGTCTTTACAAAAGCAATGTGTGTGCAATTAACCAGGAGCCACTTCTCCAGCCCCTTCAAATGCTGGCTTTTATTATTACCATCCTTTAATCAACACGGAGTGGGAACATGGTCAGAATTTTACTGCCAAAGGTTGAATTATAGGGGTTCTGAACTACACTGAGAGACTATGTGGTAGACATCAGGAAGACGTTTCTGGAATTACTGGATGTCAAATGCAGGCACAAGGAAGAAAAGGAGATGAGCTATCTGGCAGTGGAATAAAAGAGGTGTGTTGTAGCCAAGAAAAGCACCAGAATGGGGTCAGCGGACCTGAGTTCCCCTCCAGGCTTAGCCACTAGCTACCTTCAGGACCTGGCCAGGCACAAACTCCTTGGGAATCAGTCCCTTCAACCATAAAATGAGACAGTTGACTCAAGTCCATTTGTGTATAGAGAGTTTTGAGGTGTTTTTTTTTCTTTTAAACAAATGTGTATCTAACACTCATGTACCAGGCCTTGGGGACATATGAAAGGGAAAGCAACTGTCATTCATTTTGTGAGGAGGACACAGACAGGAAGTAACCCCACAGAGAAGTAGTTACCCATGGTGGCTAGAGCCCCGGTGCACCAAAATGGAGGGCAACAGGAAGTCAGATGGGCCTCGAAGGCCCCTCTGAGGAAGCGGCCTTTGTACTGATTCTGGGTCAGATATGTGGGAGAACATTTTAGGGAGACCTCTGTCACAGGACAGAGGAGGAGAATGACGGCCTAGGCGACAGGTAGGCATGTCACAGCAGAGAGGAAGGGAGGCTAGAGAGGAGAGATGGGAAGAGCCGGCTACCCAGGGTCCGTGTGCAGGAACAGTATGTGGGTTTCCGTGAGACACTGCGGGACGGCTTAGAAGGCAGCTTAAGCATGAGACAGCCTCATCTGTGTCAGCCAGCTTTCTGTTGCTGTTACAAAAGAGCCGACGGGAACCCACTTGAAGGAGGAAGGACTCACTTGGCTCATGGTTTCAGTCCGTGTTGACTGGCTCCATTGTTCCTGGACCTGTCCTAGAGCCAAGCTGCTCACCTCCTGGTGGGATTATGGTGGGAACAGGATTTATCTTCAAGTGAATGCCAACAGTGCCACTTCCTCCTGCCAGGCCCCGCCTCCCAGAGTTTTCATCGCTTCTCAATGGTCGGTCCATTCAGTCAAGAACTCTAATGGCTTCATGCATTAACAGCCCAGAGCCTCCACAATCCAATCATTTCCCCCAAAGCTATCCCTTTGAACAGTATAGCTCTCAGCTTTCAGCGAGAGTCTTTGAGGGACACCTACAAAGAGCTAACTACAGCAATCTGTTTTCACAGTTTGACACACAGTCTAGCTGGGAGTGAAGACCTGCAGACTGTAGCCAGAAAGCCACTACTGCAGGGGAACGGTTGTCAACTGAGGGCTGCGACAGGGTCAGAGGTGCATGGGGACTGAGATACTATCCGTGGAGAAGGTTCAGAGCAGAAGCGAATCAGCCAGGGAAAACCATCATAAGTAAGCCCTTCGCTTGGACTCAAGAAGTTATCAGGCTCTGCGGTGGTTAGACAGCTGGAGAATCTCAGCAGCTTACAACATAGCTTACTACCCATTCCCACCAGTGCCAGAGTTGCTTGGGAGTCTTTATTTTCAGGATCCACTGGGAGGAAGCAGCCGCAAAGGGGAAACCAGCAGAATTCTGGGAGGGCACCTAAAACGACGTGTCTTGCCACATGTCATTGGCTAATCAAAGTCATGTGGTCAGGTGTCAGTCAAGGGGTAGGGCTCTGCACTTTGCCCATGGTGTGCGGAACAGAATCCTCCACAAACTGCAAACCCAAAACTCAGCTGAGAGCGGAGCCTAGCAGTTAATGTCAGTCCACAAACCCAGCTAGTAGAGCCCAAGGTAGGGTGGGGAGTGGGGAGGAGGGAGCGGCTCACCGGTCTGGTGCTGTCTATAACGTCCTTTCACCTTTTCCCAGCAGGGCCTGGGATCAAATGCTTCTTGAAGGCTGGGAACAGGACTCTCTGGGGGTGTCATGTCTCAGGTTTGCATTTATGTGCAGTTTAGCTGCTTAGAGGGGTGGGGGTGGGGCAGGTATACTAGGTACCAGAGAGCATCCAGGTTAACTTCCCGCGAGGAAGAGGCGGTCACCTGAGCCTATCCTCTTTGTCCGCTCCTTTTAGTCCAGCTGCCAAGTTCTTGCGGACGAACCAGTCCCCCACCCCCTTCTTTGTTCTCTCTCTTCTGCTCCAGGCTCAGGTCTCCAGGGCCTCCGGGAAGGTCAAGTGCTGGTTGCCTACTTTGGTTTTCAGACATCAAAAAATGGTTCACCGGGTGAACAATGGCCTGACCATCTGCGAGATGTTAACTGCATAATGGAATGTAACGCGAAGGGCTTTTAAAAACACGAAGAGAGATTTTATTGTAACTAATCGTGATGGATGACGAGTGTGGTCACACTTGGGTCGTAAATCTTTGTGCCAAGCCTGGGCCAAAAAAAAAAAAAAAAAAAAACCCACCAACGAACTCGGGAGTTCAGAGACCCTTGTCCTCAGCCATGGGCAAATCACATGGGAAGGGTCTTGGAACCTCATTTGCATCTGTACCTTCTGCGGTGAAGTCATTGGCTGCCTCCGCTTGAGTGATAGGCTGCCAGGGGGCTAGGTCCTCTTACCTCAGTTCCCAGGGGTGGGCTCCAAGGAGGACTGAAGCAGGAAGGGGCTGGACAGAGCCAAATTTCCTCCACCCTCTACCCCATTCTTCTCCTATTTAATTAAAGAGAAAAGGCGGTCGCAGATCTGGGCAGGCTCTCCGTGGCAAAGTTCACGGGCAATAAGCGTCTCTTATTAGCCACGTGGCTTTCTCATGGAGTTTGTGGATGTATCAGTCAAGGTTTGATGACTATGGCTGCCGGTAGCAGGAAGGCTGGACAGAAGTTAGCACCTTCTGCTATTCCAAGGCCCAGGGAAAGACACCTAACCTCTGTGCCTCGGCTTTCTTCTTTGTCTTCTACTAAGTGGGTATAATATAAGTAAACGGGTTTTGTGATGCCATTTATATCTCAAAGCACTTGGCAGGACATTAGGCTATACTATTTTTTCACTCAAATTGGAATTTTTAAAAAAAACCAATTCAAACTATATACCAGACATCATGTTTTTACCCCTGGAAAGACAACAGTAAAAAAAAAAAAAAGTCGGGGAGGGGTGCAAAGAAATGAGAAAACTATGTGGGTCTCACTTTCAAAATACAGGTATGGCTTGGCTCTTGGTTCCTCTTACTTCCTCCCAGTCCAAAAGCTGAAACGAGAGGACTAGAGTTCAGTTCTTTATATATGCAGGTGTTATCACCTGCACCAGCCCCTCCAAAAGTCATGTACCAAAAACCACAGCATCACAGAGTCATCCCAAAGTGACTTTGGGATGAAATTAAATCAGGAGGATGGAGTCCTCTTGAACAAGATTAGCATCCTTACAATGGAGTCTCCAGAGAGCTGCCTGTCTCTTTTGTGGTCTGGGTACTAAGAAAGAAGGTGACACCAAGTCTGCCAGTGCCCCGAGCTTTCCAGCCTCCAGATCAATGACAGTAAGAGTGTGTAAGACCTGAGTGTGGGGGTGTTGAGCCCCCAGAACAGTGGGGGCTGTGGCAAATGATCACTTTGGAAAGCTATTTAGAGAGAACCTTCCTGTGGGTCTTTATCAGTTGTTTTTTACCTTGTTTAATATCATACAGACCCCCAACTCAGAACATTACTGACATTGAGGAAATGTCATCTTCAAGGCAAGGGGGTCAGTCATCAGACAGAACTAAGATGAAGGTCACAGAGAAGTGTGCTGAGTGCTGTTGGTTCCCATGGCTGAGCCCTTCCTCCTCTTCTTCCTCCTCCTCCTCTTCCTCCTTCTCTTCCTCCTCCTCTTCCTCCTCTTCTACATTCTCCTTCTCCTTCTCTTTCCTCTTCCTCTTCTTTCTTTTCTTTTTCCTCTTCTTCCTTTCCTTCTTCCTCTTCTTTCTTGTGTTTTGCTCCTCCTCTTCTTCCTCCTCCTCCTCCTTCTCTTCCTCCTCCTCGTCCTCTTCCTCAGATCCTCCTGCCTCTGTCCCCCAAGTGCTAGGATTAAAGCCATGAACCACCACAGCCTGGCAAGCCCTTCTTTAATATTGAGGAATTTCCCAGTTCTTCTCGGGGTTCCTCCATCCTGGCATCTGTAAGGGTGGAGCCACTCTGGGACTGTTTTCACTTCTGTTTCCTCAGTTTCTGGAAATACTTTACAGTTTGAGGACATTCAGTGAACTATTTTAAGGTCTCTACTGTAACTACAGATTGTTTCTTAAACTTTTTTTTCCTTCCAAAAAATTTCCATAGAATTCTGCAAACTTGGGGGAGATAATTGGACTCTAGTTTCAACTTGAAAGCTATTTTCTAGAGCTGTTTTGAGCCTTTTTGAAGTTGTTCAGGCCAAACTTTAGACTAAAATAATATACTTTATGTAAATATTTCTGTGGTGATTTTCTTTAAAAATACAGTCTTCCTGGGTAGAAAATAGAGCATATCATGTATAATTCAACCCTACATCAGTCCTATTTAACACTCTGGAACACTTTTTGTGATGGGGATATTCAAATATCAACAACTTGTTTTAATCTCCTGACACAGCATCTGGATACCTAGCCCAGGCTGGCCTACACTTGTGGTCCTCCTGTCTCAGTCACCCATGTGCTGGGGTCATAGGTCAGTGACAGCACACAAGGCATCTCTTGACCCGGTGTGAGAATTCAGTAGTGCCAGTCCATCTGCATGGCTCTTTACTTGGGGTAGGTCTACGTACGGATGGTGTCAGCTATACTTGGTTTCTGCTATTCTGTGGCACTCCTCCACCTCCTTTAGCTGCATGAGTTATGTTTGCTGCCTTGCTTTCATTAAGAATAATTAGTACATTGACACCCCCCACTGTTTCATTTAGTGGCAACCTTTAAGTTTTTCAGATGTGTCTTGGGTCGTTTTTTTCTCTGATAGCATAAATCAGTATCTGTCAAGCTTTCCCATGTGTAGAATGGAAAATGTCTTGAATTTGTCCCTTTACCTCACTAAATTGATTTTCTGCACTATCCACCCTGCTGTTCAGATGAGTTTTTAATTAATCAATTGTGTTTCTTCTCCACTCTCTGTCCCTTTATCAGTTGCTCCCTTTCTCACCCTGCGCACTTCGGCTTCTGGATTCAATGGCCCCTTCGATGGTATTGAAAGAGCAAATCAGAAATTGCCTCCAGCTGCCATTTCTTGCAGAAAAGTCCATATGGTGAGAGTGTTTTCCGTGGCCTCCAAATATCCTGTCCTCTGACCTGCCACAGCTCCTTACATGCCTGGGGTGCCATCTGCACATCTCTTAGCTCCTTCTGAGCAGGCACTTTTAGGGTTCCTGTCAGTATTTCTCCTTACTTCCTGGGTGAGGGATCATGAACTGGTCCTCTGGAGTTCTGGTGCCCACAGATCATGCTGTCAGGAGCAGTAGTGTCTGCTCCACAAGACAGCATCCTGGGTTTTCATTGCCTTACAAGAAAAAAATAATCATATAGTGTTGCTCAATCAGTACGTAGACACTAACAACAGGTTTTGATAATGAGTTTGTGTTTTGTTTTATTTTTGATGAAATACATTAGCAGAATGAGCAACGAGCATTCTTATGATGGATGGAGTGTCCAGCAATGACTGGCTATAGAGTCTATGGTGCAGTTGTCTTTCATGGACCCCAAACAGCCTAAAGATCCAAAAATAAAGTACTGATAGACCAATTAATGTGTGGCTATGCAGCTCTCAAAAATAATACAGGTGTATTAGGTAGAATGATAATATTTTTGTTGTTTAAGAATCGCAAAACCTTGCCTGAGCCATTTTTATAAAAATAATAGAGAGGGCTTGAGATATATCTCAGTGTAGACTACTTGTCTAGTATGCCTAAAGACCCAGGTTTAATCTCACAAAAAAATTACACAAATGCATAGCCATCCACACTCAACATAACAGCCCAATGTACTTATTGTAGATGTGCTTATTAGACACCACATAGCAATGCCTTTATCCTGGATGACGTGATTATTGAGATTCAAACATTCTTACTCACGTCGATTCCTGGGTTTTCCCTTCTTTTTTAATCCACACACTGTGCTTTCCTTTCCCATTAGTTTATTAGAGGATTTTTGGAAACCAGAACAGACATTTCCTCAGGACTATCTGTTGCCTTGCCCATCTTATTGAACGATCAAAAGGAGAAACAGCAGGGCATTCTGGTCATGTTATTAATGAGAATATCGTAATGATACAAAGCATTAAAACCTTGTTAACCAGGCTGGAGAGATGGTTCCATAGTTAAGAGCACTTGCTGACTTAGCAGAGGATCGGGTTTGAATCCACGTGACAGCTCTGAACTGCTCCTAACTCCAGTCCCAGGGAATCCAGCGCTTTCTGTGACCCAGACATATGTGTAGTACACGTCCATACACACGGTAAAACACTCAAACACATAAAATAAATCATTCTAAAAGACTGCTTTGGGATGAAATAAAACAAAAATGGCCCTGTTATCCAGGAAGGTTCTGAAATAACTCCTGAACTAACAGAAAGAAAGGTATGAGTCTCTTCCTGTCTGTGTGCATGTGTAGTTTAATTTTGGTGAGGATTTATCCATGTTACACCCCTAGACCTGTGGAACTCTGGAACTGTATAAGGGTTGAGGGCAGTTGGAGGGGGCAGAGTGGCTCAAGGCAGTGCAGTCTGGATAGGAGTATTTACTGTTTTAGTTATAACAGTATTTACTGTTTATTTTGTTTTTGTTTGCTCGTTTTGGTTTTTTGGAGACAGTTCTATGTGCAACAGTCCCGAACATCCTGGAACTCACTCTGTAGATCAGGCTAGCCTTGAACTCACACAGATCCACCTGCCTCTGCCTCCCACGTGCTGTGACTAAAGATGTGAGCTGCCATGGTCCACCTTTTTAAGTTTTGGAGTATTTTTGGGGTTTTTTTGGTCTTTGTTTTGAATTTTAGGAGTATTTACACCAAAGCAATTGGCATGTGCGTCAATTCAGGACCCCCTTTAGAGCTTGTTTGTAATCATTTGCCAGCACCCCATGGCTTTGCAGTGAACTGATCTGTAAGAAAGGTGACTAGAACAGTGAGGCCACCTTGCACAAGGTCGCTGGATGGCAGGAAGCCAGACCTGGTTTGGCAGACAGGTATCCCCAACCCTACTTCCAACTGTCCCTCAAGAGCTCTGGTTAAGAACAGTTCCATCCTGGCCAGTGCTGAGCAAAGTGTTTGTGTCAGTTAGAAGAGAGGCCTTCATTTCCAGAGCCTGAGGAGAAATGAACAGGTGCCCACAAACATCAGACAGCTTTCCGTGAATTCACACAGAGACTTCTGGTTTAATAAAGGTAATTAATCTACATGTGAAACTACATTTCTCAGATAATTGTTTTTTTTTTTAAGCATAAGTCCCTGTATTAAACAACACAATTTTCTTA